TGACTGTCTGTACACAGGTAACAGGGCTGACTGTCTGTACACAGGTAACAGGGCTGACTGTCTGTACACAGGTAACAGGGCTGACTGTCTGTGCACAGGTAACAGGGCTGACTGTCTGTACACAGGTAACAGGGCTGACTGTCTGTACACAGGGCTGATTGTCTGTACACAGGTAACAGGGCTGACTGTCTGTACACAGGTAACAGGGCTGACTGTCTGTACACAGGTAACAGGGCTGACTGTCTGTACACAGGGCTGATTGTCTGTACACAGGTAACAGGGCTGACTGTCTGTACACAGGTAACAGGGCGGACTGACCTGGCTGCACGGGTTGGTATCCTATGGTTGCGGGGACCATGGGGTATATAGTAGTGGCATCGCTGGTCCCGGCCTGTGGCCCCGTCTCCTGGCTGGGCCTCAGCGCTGGCTGCGTAGATAGTGCATCCCATGAACCCTGGTGCTGTTGTCAAGCCTCCACCGCGTACCGTCCCGTGTCCCTGTGGCTTCTCTGTAAGTGAGCCTCTGCCCTGCTCCTCCTACACCCAGACGCCTGCTGCAAAAGCCATTGCCTCAGCACATCTCCACCAGCACCACCAGCACACAGCTCTCCTACTTTCTCCCTCCCCCCACCAGGAGCCCAGAGGATAATCAGATTTCACGTTCACACACAACAAAATCATCCCAGCATAAATCCCCGCCCCTGCATGCAGCTGCATCATGATATTGTTGCGGGTGAAGTGACGCGGTTGGGAGGGACTTTAGAGGGACTGATGTGATATGGGGTGATGATATCTTTACAAGACGTTTCTTGTTTGTCGGCGTTACCTTGTGTGACGAGTCAAATTTGACCAACACTTCCTGCTAAGTTTAATTTAGCTCGTCTAGTTCATGTAACTGGTGCATTTTGTTCTAAATATCCTCAATAGAAGCGACATAATACCCAAAGAGTCCCAAATTATATGGGAAGATCGGCCCCTGGTGGTCATGTCAGAATTGTCTTAAGCGATCAGTCGACATCATTCAAAGTACACATAGATGTGCACCCATTGTGTAATATTTGCATATAGTATGTGATATAAGTCTGTGAACAATGTTACACATGCATCGGATAACCTAATATGTACACATACAATAAGGCAAGAATCATTCTACAGCGTGTAATGAAACCAGCTACTCAGACATGACAGATATGATTGTCTCATAAAAAGATTTATTTTTCGCCCAAATGTACAAAGGCAAGTTACAGTATTGTATAAAAAAACTGTGGTAATGTACACTTTACATAAACTCCAGAACGGGAGGTGGGGGAGGAGACGGAGGAAAGGGGGAAGACCGCAGGGGGCACAGAGTTGAACCATGGAAATGAAAACCGTTGTAAACATCCTTGAAAGCACCAGGTGACGGATACTTCCAGGGCTTTAAGTGACACCAGAGCGGCCGTGAGAGTGGAGAGGGTGATTCGACATGCTCTGGCAATCGGAGATGTCGAAAAAGTGTCCTTACTCCCATGTGATAAGGATGTTTATCTAAGCACCAACGTAGATGACTTAACCAACTGCTGTGCTAAACAACAACAAAAAGTTACCGCATCCCAGAGTAAAACGGTGTCCTCCAAATCAACAAGACAGAATCAAGCGCTTTTTTCCTTTAGGTTGCTGGAAAGCAAAAACTGGCTTATGCGGCTTGACCATAACCACAAGACATACGATTAAACTCGCGTTCAGCCAACGTTTAAATCGTTGTCCTCGTTTGTAGGAGAAATGCATTAGTGTTTTCCACCCAGTGAATGGTGGAAAATCCTACTAACGCCACCTGCTGGGGACATGTAAATAATACACTCCATCGATGCATCAGACAACAGCACAGCTGCCTATATTCCTAGTAGATATTAGCTGTACAGGACTTAAACACTGTCACATTCAGATATACAGGTCGGAACAATATGCCACTTAAGAACGATGACACTTGTGGACAATAAACTAGCAATACATTCCTAGAACTTTACCAGGGAGATACATCACCAAGCTTGCGGTTTGAAATTGCTGAGAGGTGTATTATCGAGTACTTCCAATACAGTCACCCCTCAAAAAATATCTGACAATCGCATAATGTTCTGGTCAGCAGTATATGGTGACTCCTTGGGTTCGGACTGAGTTTCGGACTGATGACAAGCCATGGTCATACAGCTGAAGCCTTCCACACCACTTATCTAAATAAATCTTGAATTTCTACCGACTGAATTACCGTCGCCCCAAAAGACAACAGCTCACACTCCATATTATGGATTTTCTATACATGTTAATGACATCTGTTTGATATATATATATCATAGGGGAAGAAATCCTTTTGCACCGCTTCAATAATTTGAGAGGACTGTTGTATGTTGGTTTAAGTGCTATTCCACACCACACAGAGGCTTACGTTCAAATTACAGGGGCTCTAAACTGAAGTCTTCATCCTAGCAGAGTAAACGTCACCGCTTGTGGTGCGGTAACCAACGTGGGAGAACAGCAGCTCCTACGCCACACGTAAAATGTAACGAGCCAGATGTAGTGCGAACGAGGGCTACTGTTAAGGTGCAGAAATCGGCATTGCTGGTCCTTCCAAAAAAACATTGCGGGAATAAATACCAGACAGAGGGCTAAAGAAGATGACCGTGACAGGGTTCAATCACCTTTTTAATACCTCCCTCCTAAACATTATTCCAACATGCTGCCCCACTGTAGCCACACACATCACACCCCCTTCCCCTCACCCCAGTCACCCTATTAGGGACCCTAGTACCCCACAAACAACCAGAGCCATTTACCTTGCTATTCATTGTTCACCCGGGTCTAAGGCTTAAATCCCTGCAGCTAGCCGTGTCCCGAACTAGCAGCCCGTCCTAGCCAATCACCAGTCACCACACTAGTAACCGGCAACGTTTGAGAACCAACAGAAGGGTTTGAATGAGGCAAACAGGGAAACGAGAGCAAATCATGAAGATGGCATCCCGGATATAATGTAACCGTGTAACAGTCTCCGGCAGCTGGGATCCTCCGCAGACAGAAGCGGCAGATGTTGCCCAGACTGGTTTGACACCCGTCTCGACTGTGAACATCGTGTCAATCCTTCCTCTTCGCCATTTGCGGTGTGCGGACTGTAGTACCGGCGCAGGACTGACGGTGAAGATGGCCACGCCGTTTTTAGTAGATGATCACCAGTGTTCTGTAGTGACTGGTTGACAATGCTCGACACAGCAGCTGTGAACCCCTGAACCCAAAACCAAGGCTTCGACTGGCCCACCGTTCAGTGCAATCACCAGTGAGCCAGCGTGCGAGTGACAGCAGATTTGGTTGATCCAGTGTACGGAAAAGTTGAAGTGTTAAAAATAACAAACATAAGTAACCCATGCCAAACAGAATAAATATATCGAAAACACAAAACTGTTTTTGAGGTGAATGTGTTCCCTTCACACAATAATTATGGCTATTCCTGAAGTGAACCAAGAGATGGTTAGCGAGCAAAATGACTGGTTGAGGGACAATAACAGAAACCAGAAATCTTCTCCAAGATCCCAATGTAAGCCAGTAGGAGAACCAAGAGCTCCCCAGAAAACCCACTAATAAAAGTTGTCAGTATTCAGCGGCACACTGCGTAAGACAGGGCAAGGACAGCAAGTTCAATCATTTCAACATGATGACTAAGTTTTGTCAGTCTTTATTTTAGTTGAACCCCTCCCCCACCAGACCCACCATCACCAGAACCCCATATCCTGTCACTTTCTACGCAAGACAAAAAAAGTCAAAATACTTTCTCAGCTTTTTTTTTAAGCAGTCAGTTGGTCTATTTTTGCATGTGTCCATTTGTCAATAGTGCAAAGACAAATATATATATATATATTTATCAGCTGTATTCTGCACACGGGCAGAGTGATGGCTTTCAACCTTGGGTGTGGTCTGTCCTAGTCCACGCTGTGACAGATGCTGTGGCAGACGCTGTGGTAGATGCTGTGGGAGACGCTGTGAGAAGACGCCGATCTGCCAGAATTCAGGCAGAAAAAAAATAGAAACACCATTCAACTGATGTCTAAAATTGACTTGGTCTTCCTCATGTGAGCCAGTCACATGAACCTCTGCAGGGTGGTGTGATGTTGTTCATGTCTCCCTGGGGGAAATGATAGGACACAGACACAGCAGGGTTAATATAATTTCACATGAAGTCTAAACGTTTGGCAGACACCCCTACCTAAAGCTACACACAGTATTCCCGTTTCCCTTCTGTTTGTATTGGTCCCCCATGGGGATCGACTCCTTGGGTTATCCAGAACTATTGTGAGATTACAATACTACTGTTACACATTTGTTATGTCAATTGTTTGCCATTATGACCGTTGACTGTGAGAATTGACACTTGAATAATAGGGGAAGCAGTCAAATCCAAACCAACAATCTATGGTAGTGACCAACATAATGACTGGGACAGCAAGCATTTTCTTTTGTACTTCAAAAGTTTGGATTTGAACTTCTGGGCAACAAAAGTAATGTACTAGATATATCCTAAAAAATATAATTAATGCAGATAATCTATAAACCCACCAATTGTTTGATTTCAAACCCAACCCTTTGGAGCATAGAACCATAAAATGAATAATAAAATAAATATGCATTGAGGGAAACTGCTTAGAGCAGGGGTGGCCAACCCGCGGCTCGCGAGCCGCATGCGGCACTTTGTCTGGTTTCATGCGGTTCTTACGTTCATATCGAAGTTTGTGTTCTTTTTAATGTCGGTGTTCGCTTCGCTTGACTTCAATAAAGGAATTTTTTCGTCAAACACGCATGTGTCACAAACTAGTGGTGTAGTGCAGTCAATAGCCATTTGCCGAGCCAGTATATACCTGTGTGGTGTTTATTTTAAATACCATTTAACTCCAACACGTAACAACGAACGGAAATAAAACGACGGCACTGTAATTAAATCTAATTGTGCAGTGGTGACTTATAATAAATAGCCGCTACTCGCCATGTTTGGTGCAGTGGTTAGAACACTTGGCTGTGGAGCCAGAGGACCCTGGTTCAATTCCCGCCACCAGATTTTTTTTTGCCAATGTGTATGATGTGGCTCTTTGCGGTTCCACAGTAAACAATGTGGCTCTTAGTCTCTGACTGGTTGGCCACCCCTGGCTTAGAGGGAACAGCAGAGGGAATTTTAAAACAAGATCCGAAACAAGGCAGATTGCTGCCACTAGAGGTCAGTATATCCTGTGATGGAGCGGGGGATTCCACACTTTCACCATGTGAAATGATTTCAGCAATATCAATGTGATGAGCTGTCCTGCTCTACTCAGAGAAAGCAGCTGACAACCAAAACAGGAAGAATGAGCACTACTCCATACTCAGACTGCTAGCACGGTCAGGAGTTTACAGAGGCTGGGATGGGAGTATTGGAGAATCCTTTACACCCAGTGTGGGGTGGCAGAACAGAAGAGCAGTCTCTCATTGGGTCACATGCAATGCCAAATAGAAGTTGGGGGTTGTCAAAGCACCAAATGTCTTTGTCTACAACAATCAATCAAATGTATTTCATAATGCCTGTTTAACATTAGCAGTTGTCACAAAGTGCTTTAACGTCATTTCTCGCGCCCATCGATTCTGTGGGTTTACACAGTGTCTGTAGCCATTTGGCTTGATGTGTTGGTCCCCGGTGTACGCCGTTTGGCTGACTGATCCTGATCCTCCGTTGGTACTAGGGGGTAAGGGAATTTCCAAATGCCATGGTAAATGGGACACTATTATAGCGCTTAGTGTGTACGCAGTATTATTAATACTGTCTATTTGGAACAGTCTATGCTGTCTGTGTTCTCTCCGTTACGTTTGTCATACATGCAGTCCAGTCGGGTCTGTCCAGTCCAGTCGGGTCTGTCCAGTCCAGTCGGGTCTGTCCAGTCCAGTCGGGTCTGTCCAGTCCAGTCGGGTCTGTCCGTCCAGTCGGGTCGGTCCAGTCCGGTCGGGTCGGTCCAGTCCGGTCGGGTCGGTCCAGTCGGGCCGGTCCAGTCCGGTCGGGTCGGGGTCGGTCCAGTCCGGTCGGGTCGGTCGGTCCAGTCCGGTCGGGTCGGTCCAGTCCGGTCGGGTCGGTCCAGTCGGGTCGGTCAGTCGGGTCGGGTCGGTCCAGTCGGGTCGGGTCGGGTCGGGTCGGGTCGGTCCAGTCGGGTCGGGTCGGTCAGTCGGGGGTCGGTCCGGTCGGGTCGGTCCAGTCGGGTCAGTCGGGTTGGGTCGGTCCAGTCGGGTTGGGTCGGTCCAGTCGGGTTGGGTCGGTCCAGTCGGGTTGGGTCGGTCCAGTCGGGTTGGGTCGGTCCAGTCGGGTTGGGTCGGTCCAGTCGGGTTGGGTCGGTCCAGTCGGGTTGGGTCGGTCCAGTCGGGTTGGGTCGGTCCAGTCGGGTCGGTCCAGTCGGGTTGGGTCGGTCCAGTCCAGTCGGGTTGGGTCCAGTCGGGTTGGGTCGGTCCAGTCGGGTTGGGTCGGTCCAGTCGGGTTGGGTCGGTCCAGTCGGGTTGGGTCGGTCCAGTCGGGTTGGGTCGGTCCAGTCGGGTCTGTCTTTCTGGCTAGGGGTCTTACCGTTCTCACCTCCTTGCCGGCGGGTACAGGGAGGGGGCTGAGGCTTGCTGACTGGCAACAATAGCGGATGACGAGAGACCTGCGTGAGGCGGAGAATGTATGCATATCAGTTCTGTACTTATATCAGTCTGAGTTTCTGAGAAGTGTGAGGCTGGAGTGGTGAGAGAGCCTGGCTGGACTGGAACTGACCTGTGGCGTAGGACAGGTCGTACTGACCCGAGAGCAGCGGGTAGCCCAGGTGGTGATGGGAGGGCATGATGCGCTGGGACGGCGAGGAGCGCGGCCGATCTGCGTCCCGGTCCCGTTCCCTCTCGCCGCCTCTGTCGCCCCGCTCCCCCCTCTCCCTCTCGTGTGACGGCTTGTCGCCCACCGTGGGGGACTTGCTCTTGTACTGGCTGGCGTGCTGCTGCAGGATGTCCAGGGCCTTGGAGTCTGCAGACGCGGCCTTGCCGCTCACCGTGGGGCTGGCGCGAGATTTGTCTCCCCCCCTTGCCTCCTCCTCGCCACCGGCCATCTTGCCTCCGTAAGGGGAGAAGGGGTACCCTGCGGGCAGGTAGGGAGAACCTAACACAGGGAACAAGTCGTCATGTGAATGTGTTTTCCTGCATATTGTTAAAATGTTCCCCCATTCCTCCAAGTGGATCTTCTGTTGACCGGGTCCGGTTACCTTGGTAGTTCTGCATCATCACCGTTGGCATGCCTCTGTACCCGGGGTGGCTGGGGTCATAGCTCTGCCCGTAGGGGTAACCATGCATGTAGGGCAGGTAACCTTGGTGTTGTACCAAGGGCGAGGAGAACTGCATGTGGGCGCTGGCGCGAGGGTCTTTGCCCGCGGTCCGGTGCTCCTCGGCGGATGACATCCGGGCGTCCGCTCCTTCTTTGGGACCGGCGCCGTCCTCTTTGGGACCGCCGCCTTCCTTGGGCCGGCCGGGCCTGTCGTCCTTCCCTTTGCGTTCCCTCTCTCGCTCTCGGTCTCTCTCGTCTTTCCAGCGTGGCGGCGGCTGTTGTGGTAGCTCCTCCTCTTGCTGGGTCTGCTGGGGGTAGACATAAGACCAGAGGCTTGATCAGAACAGTGGGAAAAGGGTTAACAAACCTTAACTACCTACGTAAAACAAATACAAGTCCAAACAAAACGCACAAGTCTATTTACCTGTCTGTACCACATGGCTTGCTCAATCCCCGCCCTGGACTCCAGGCCCGGTTTGGAATCCTCCTTCACATGGTGGCCCGCCTCAGTCAGCTTCATCTTCAGCCCCTCTGCCTGCTGGGACTTTGAGTCTTCTCCTTTCAGGCCTACGGCGGAGGTCTTGGAGGGCTCCAGGGGCGAGTCCCTGGACTTGCCCTGGTTCTGGGTCTTGTGCCCCAGGCTGTCCGTTTGGCCGGAAGCCTTGGAGACATTGGGTGGCACTGGGGCCTTCTGCTTCCACTCGTCCTTCATGGACGCCGCCGCCGCCTCGCGCTCCTTCATTGCCGCCGCATCCGAGCTCTTCTTTTCCACGAGCGCGGCCCGATGCTGCTCAGACAACACCTGGCGCTGGCGCTCCTCGTACTGCTGCCGATAGGCCGGGTTGGTGTTGAGCAGGTGGTTGTGGTAGGCCTGGTCAGGGTGGTAGGCGTACGGGGGGACGTAGGCGTACTGGTTGTAGTACAGAGGCTGCATGTACATGTTGGAGCGCTGTTGGATGACCGACTGCTGCTGTTGTTGCTGCTGTTGTTGTTGTTGCTGTTGATGATGATGATGATGCTGCTGCTGTTGTTGTTGTTGTTGACTAGGAGTGTTGATCTCTGGTTTGCGCTCTTCATGAGGCTCTACTTTGATCTTGTCGTCCACACGCTCCTGGTCATCCTCCCGCTTCACTTTTACCGGCGGCGGTCCCTCTGGGTGTGCCATTCCTGGGTTGGCACCACCGGGGCTGGGGTTGGTGTAGTTGGGCGAGTAGTAGGCCTCGTACCCGGCGTAGTACGGAGGCTCCTTGTTCGGAGCCACGTTCGGGAACAGGGCTTTCTTTGTTCCTTCCCTGATAACTGGCTCCTCCACCTTGACTTTCACCCCTTCGGCTAGCTTCCCCTCGCCGTCCTCACCTGCGTCAGAGATGTCTGAGTACGCCGGGCTGTTGGTCTTGACGGAAGAACTGTCGGCTGCGGCCACGCCATTCTGGGCGACCACATGGAGGCCCGTGAGGGGCTGAGGCATCCCTGTGCCTTCTATCCGACTGGCCACCCCGATGGAGGGGCTGGGGGCGTTGTCTGTGAAGCTGTAAATCTTGTCTGCTTCAGCCTTGATGCTGGCAAGCCGGCTCTGGTGGAGGTCAGAGGAACCATTCAGGAGCCCGTCGCCTTTCCCCGGGTCTGAGGACTCTGAGTAGGGGCTCTTCCCCTCCTCTGGTTTCCCCCCCTTCCCCAGAGGCTTTGGACTGTCTGCCTCCTTACTGCAGTCCTTCTTCTTCTTCTCTTTCTTCTTCTTCTCTTTTGAGGCACCGGAGACAGGGTTCAGGACGGCAGGGTCTCCCATAGCGGGTGAGGGTTTAGGCGGCTGGACGCTCTTTACCTGTGGGCTTTTGGGAACACCCTGCATCATTGGGGGCAGTCCGGGCGGGACATTGGGGTTCACCCCTGCAGGAAACGAGGAGGCCTGTAACGAGTAGAGCTGTGGGGAGGCTGCGCTCCCTGCAGGTACAGGCCGGGACGATGTTTTCTTCTGAGAGAGTTTTTCTGACTTGGACTTTTTGTCATACTTGGTCTTTTCCATGCTGTCGTTACTGGCATCACTAGCATGCCCGTCGTCGCAGCCTTCCATCGGCACCCCACTCACTTCAGGGTCAGCATCTACACCCTTCTTCTTAATTTGTTTTGTGCTGAATTTGCCGGGGGAGGGGGACGGACTCTGGCGGTCAAAGCCCTTGCCTTTAGGGGTGACGGACCGCGCCGGAGACGGACAGCCTTTCTGAGAGCCGGACGCCCCGTTGCAATTCCCCGGTGGGTCGGGGTGAAGTGTGGAGTCCTCCCCGTACTCACTATCCCCGTCCAGATCCAGCTTGACGTCGTTATCGTTGTGGGCGCGAGCCTGGTGATACTTGAGGCCGTTAATGTGCTTGTACTTCTTGCTGCACCCGGGGTGCGGGCAGTCGATGAAAACGGGCGAGGGGCAGTTGCGGTCGAGCATCGGGGGCTGGGGCTCATTCTTCACAGACGGAACAGGGGGAAGGACGGGAGGAAGTACGCCTCCGCCGTTGGAGTTGGTGCGCATGCGCTTGTTGCCTCTGGTGTCCTCGGAGCTGGAGTTGGGCTCCATGTCCGAGGCAGGTTTGGTCTTGCGCTTGCTGCTCGACGAGGGACTGGCCTTGACGTCCTCCATGTTGCTGTTGGGCGGCGTGCGGCGCTCCGACGAGGTCTGGCTGCCCCGCCGGCCCTTGCTGCCGCTGCTGTTATTGTTGTTGGCGGCGGCACGGGTCTTGCTGGAGCCGCTGCCTTTGTTGTCTGAG